TCTGCAGTTTGCACGGAACGGTTAAGTGGGGTGGTATACTTATCTGAGTCGTCTGCCATCTGTGCTATTGCGGACTAAACGGATACCCAGCGTCCAAATAAAATGCGTCAAGCGTATCGCTTTCAGAAAATGTGTGCCCGGAACCAGCAGTTCTTGGATTTCGCATCTGCATTCACAGTCTTTGGGCAAATTATCAGCATAAAGAAGGCAGTAGTCATGAGAAAACAAACGCATACGGCGAAACATATTTAGTCAATGAATATTTTAGTAGATAGAGTTTATTCATGGTATATAAAGTTATACGAACAAAACTTATGATCTTGGGCATCAACAGGGTTGATGGGTTAATTATAATAAAATCTGCAAAACTGGCAAGGACCAAAAAAACCTTAAACGCGTTTTTATCGATTTTTCCACAAGGGTAATAGGACGAAGGGCGTGGCTCTGACCCAGCTTAAAGTGAGGATATCAATTGGTTCTGCTCAAACTGCTTACGAGAGTTCCCACAGATGAATTAACAGAGTAAAATTCCAGCAGCTTAAGTTTCACAACGGAACGCAGAACTCGGGCGATGCCGAGGCGACTACAGATGCAATACGTGGATGTTACCGGGAGAACGGATAGACTAAAAATACAAAGGGAAGCTAAGCAGACAAGTTCAATACCATACCCCAGTACTATTTTACCAACTGAGTCGCTCGAAAAAAACTCGACAGGCATTCTGAGACCACAGGACGAAAGAAAAGACGCATAAAGTCGACGAAAAAGTAAGGATAACAGAAAACCGGATATCACTATGAAGAGAGCCACCGACGATCAGTGCCGCCAAACTGTGTGACACTCAGCATACACATATATTACTTCTCGCCAAAATCCGGTTGAGCGCGAAGCGTAGACGGAAATTCATGAGTGGCGTGATCGTACAACAATAAAAAATAGAGTTCAAGATTAGTGAAGTGAGGCAATAGGGGCCGATGGCAGCTTTTATCTAGGTGTCTGTCCTGTCCTCTTGGAGTAGCGTACCTTATGACCCTTGCTGTAAGCGCTAGTTAGCAAACCCACCCATTGGAGCAAGTCCAAGCTAATCCGAAGGTTTGGAATGGACGCCTCTTCCAACAAACGAAAAATGGAGCAGCTTTAGAAAGCAAAAGCGGGAAAACAAAAGTGGTTCACTCACGATAGTAGCACACTTGTGGATAATCATAGCTGCCAGCAGCCGCAGACCCTACAACCGCTGTGGTGGCCTGCGAACGACCACCCATGACAGCTTTCGACTGCTGCACTGGCGAAGGGTAACCGCCGGCAGCAGAATGGTACTGCAGCAGTTGGGCGTCAATCATGTTTAGGGGTACTGTGCTCCGGAGGTAATTGAGTTGGGTTGCATTTGCATCAAGGGGCACAGAAGATATCATTTTATCTCGATTGCAACTATAAAAACAAGCATACAGAGAGGGTAGGGTAAGAACCAGCGTCTGTGACTGGCATAACAAAACGAACCCTCAACACGATGAAATGTAATTTACTAATTTGCCCATTGTGTTCTACAGTCCTGGAACATTTCGAGAGAATGCAAAAACTGATGTGTTTTAGGCAACACTTGTTTTTTTCAGGTGGTCAGTACGTTTTGTTCACGGTCCCGTCCTTCACGCAAGCAGTCGGCTCAATGAAGTCAGAGCTTGCGTCTACGTAATTTTCTGTAGCATACGAGCCGACTTCCTATACTTACGCTTTAACTTATCAGACTGAATATAAAATGGCAACAGCAGATGGTAAACTTTTGCTGATAGTCTAAACTTGTCCATATCGACATAAATTGCAAGCACTGTAAGCATTTGTATTCCAAGTCATGGCTCGGACTGCCACTTCCGGGAAGATACGAATGGGAGAAAGCCCAAATTTGCTTAGGAAAGCAGTAAATAGTAGGAAGAAAAATTAAGCACAACACGCCTCAGAAGACATTGCCTACAGCAACACCTATAGAGGGTCATAATGAAACTGGGTTAGTAGATGTTTTGTCCAAGGCTCATTAAAAACAAGCAAACTACACATTCCCCAATTCCAGTTCTTAATCATTACGAGGCCCTTGTTCAAATGACAGAAATGCCAAGAAAACAGAAATATTCTAGAATGTCCTTAATAGCTTTATCTAAAACTGCCTTCGTTATCGTAGTGGTTTGGAAAAAATCAAAAATGAGCGATGACGAATGATATCGCAGAGTGCTTGCTGATTCTATCAATGGTTCTTTCCATTTCTTAAGTGCATTAATCGAAAAATATGATTTCATGACTAACTGTGTTTTTTATAGTAAGGTTATTAAGTAAAAAGAAAGGGATTGTATTATTAGGCATATAAAACATAAAAATAGCCAAGACATCAAACTAGGAACTCAAACAATTGAGAAGCATGCAACCTTTTACTTGGTAGTAGTTAAGTGCCAGTAGGAACTACGGTTGCCTTTTAGTGTGAACCCTGGAAACAAAGTATAGTAAAGGAAAACTAAATGTTTGTACTACGATTTCAAACTTAAGAACGGTCTGACTGACTGACTGACTGACTGACTGACTGACTGAAACGTATGATGCAAAGGGGTGCGCTGGTGTGGGTCGGCCTTACATTTGAAGCAGTTTGAATAAATACTGCGGAAATCTAACGTGAGCTTTAGATTCTCTCCTAAGACTATGTAACTGACGAAAACGTGGGAAATGTTTTGCAAAGACTATTGGGCTGCAGCATACTCGGGGAGACTACAGATTTGTAAGGATACTTACAAGTCATCTACGGCACGTTTGCTCTCAAAAATTATTGACTCATTTTCAGAATTTTTTGTCGCTAGCACTGCGATATCTTAAACGGCCAAATACGGCGAAATTGGACTTGAAGTTTAGCAAACACTAGCACAAAGTAAAACGCTGCTGAATAGCTGAAGTTTAAATGGCATTATGGGTCCGAATATAGAACGTACGTACACAATATTCGACCGGAAAAGGAACAGAAGCTAAAATTAAATCTTAGTCTCCAGTAATTTCATTCGATAATATTAATTAAAAGAGGGGAGTGTAAGATGCCGCCTACGTGATTACTTAAATGAGACATTATAAAATGCTCGAACTCAGAACGATATGACAAGCATAAACTGGAAGAAATTTCAGTCAATGGGTGAAGTGGGATACTACGTGGCCTGGGTCACATACCGACATCTCGTGAAATTAAAACTGCGTTCGCAACTAGAAGCCCATTTAAACAGGAGGCTTCAATTTCAATTTCATTATATTTAAGACAAGAGGCCCAAGGCCCGGAGGAGTCTCTTCAAAGATAGTT